TATCGACGCTAAGATCTCCCTGATTCTATTCCAGTTGAAGATATTCCAAGACTTTTGTCTGGTTTAGTTAAATCGATTCTAAGATTTTTCTGATTCTTATCCAGCCAAAGTTAATCTGAGCCCTTCTCTGGTTCAGCCAGATCGACGCTAATATCTCCTTGATTCTTATTCCAGTTGAAGATATTCCAAGACTTTCGTTTGGTTCAGTTAAATCGATTCTAAGATTTTTCTGATTCTTATCTAGTCAAAGTTAATCCAAGACCTTCTCTAGTTCAGTCAGATCGACGCTAAGAGCTCCCTGATTCTCATTCCAGTCGAAGACCTCCTATTAACAATCTCTAAATGGAATCAGTAAGCCCATTCCTTACATCACAATGTTGATACCACTTCATGCGAGTGCAAATTTTTGGGCACTCTAGTGTTCAATAATCTTCCACCTTCGGATCACGAAAGGCACGAAAGCCAATCTACATCCTCAGGTATAAGAAGATTGAACAAGGGAAGCTGTTGTACCCCAAAATTTTCCCTCTCATATTTCTCAAAACATTCCATGAAAAATCTCCAAGTTGCTCAAGTTTGCTCAAGAGTTGGACAGTCAAGCTATCTCCTAAGGCAGTCAACCCCAAGTTAGGGTTTTGTGTTGCATCAATATCCTTGAATACAAATGACCTCAAATTCTCCCTAATGTCCTAATATGTTCTCAAGTTCATCCATGTCAAATTTCAAGCCTTGCAGAGGAAGTTTGCTCAATCAATTGCTCAAAGGGTCCAAAAATCGACTGTGATAGGGCAAAAGTCAACTGTGACCTATAAACAGTCATACTTCAAGATTTTTTTGTCAACATTCTCATTTTTAAGTATATTTGATCATTTTATCAAGGGTTGATCATGATTCATCAAGGATTGTTCAAAATTCATCAAGACTCAAAAGTTGCTAAATTAGGGTTTTGTAGGAAAAGTCAACTCAACTTTGACCAAGTATAACTTTCTCATACTTTATGAGAAATGACACATCCAAATCTCATTTTTAAGAGGATGCAATTTCCTACAATCCATATTCATACCCAAAGATCATAAAATGCACTCACAAGAAGTTATAAATTTGGACATTATAGGTCATTTTTGAAAGTCAACAAAAACACCTTTTTTACCAAAGCTTATAACTTGAGCATGGAATATCAAAATGATATGAGACAAAAAGGGTTGGTTATAGGACATCTCAAGATTTCTAAAAAGTCCAAGAACACCTCAAAAAGTGGAAAATTGAAGAAGTTATGCATTGTTGAAGTTGGGCATTTTTGCAAAATTGCCAAAAGTCAACTATCCCCAAAACATCAAATTTTGTCAAATGGGCCCATTCTTTTCCACTTGATTTGGACTTGCCACATTGCACACGTGTCCTAGCTTTATCCTTGTGTGCATTTATCAATTTTATTATTTTATTTGATTTTTTATTGAATTATTTCATTTTAAATCAATTTAAATCAAATAAAATCCAAAAACTTGATTACATGAGATCTTTTTCTATTTTCAGGACTTAATCATCATCAATATCATGATCAAACTCGTATCAAGCATTCCATGTGCAAAAAGATTGAGTTTTTGACAAAATTGGAAAGTCTTCAATGGTGGATCAAATCAAATCCCATGGCATTGATGTGCAAAGATTCAATCCATAAATGTTGACCTAATACATTCTATATTACATATACAAGTGAAAGCACATGAGATTGGGGGATGGAGGCTGCAAAAACACCAAGAACCAAACTTGCAAAATTGATAAAAAGTGTGAAACTGAAATTATCCTTGGAGGCATTTTCAGAAGCGAAACTCAACACCAATCAATTGCTGGAGGTTCATTGAGTCAGAACCACCCCCTAGCAAGCTCTCACACACTCTCAAACGCACTGTAAGTGATACACGACTCCCCTCTGAATTTGATTTCGTGTTTCAAAATCCATGCATCATTACAAGAAACCAATGGTATATTTGCAATCACTAGATAATTTCCAAGCTTTCCATATTGTTTGATTGTGTTTAGCTGCTCTGTGGTGCAAAACGCCATTGTAGGGTTTCCTAGGTTTTTTTAGGGGTTTTTGTTACAGGTAAAATTAGACCTATTAACGGCCATGGACATGACCGGAGGAGAAAGACGAGCACAACCATGGTCTTGGATGGAGTTTATATGGCCTGAGGTGAGTTTTTAGAATGGCCTACGCTTTTAGCTGCAGATTTAAATCCGCAGGTAATTTCCTTGCAGACCTGAGGACAGGAACAACCACGTGCCCCCATCTGATTGCCCCATTCGAATATTCGCGCGTTTTTATTTTTGTTCTGGCATATTAATGTGTTTTCTCATATTATCATTATTGCTGAACATATTAACAATAGAAGCGCGTTGGCCTAGTGGAAAGAGGAGCTGACAGTCACCAACAGGACCTGGGTTCGAATCCCAGGTCCTCCAAATACTTTGTTATATTTTTTCTACAGGTTATCCAGTGCATATTCAAGCGCGTGGTGCATCATACTCCCTCACTCAATCACTTGCCAGATGGCCCCAGGCCAGATCTGGTGATCCAGATGGAACGTCCACCATGCTACCTAGTCAAAGTGTACATGCTGGATCTCAAAAAGTCAACCAGGCCTGCACAATTGGGCCATGGAATTTGCTATTCAGACTCCCCAATCAGGCCCAAACCTCTAATTCTTTCTATTTTCATATTTATTTATTTATTTGTTTGTTTAAATATTTTTATTATTAATTAACCAATTAAACGTTTTCTTTACAAAATTAAAACCAAAAAAATATTTTTCTTCATTAAAACCAAATTTTAATTTTTATTAATCAATATTAATTTAATTAATTTAGTTTTAATTAGGAATAACTTTAATATATTTTTGCAATAATTAAAATTAACTTAGACAATTAGGTTTATGTTAACATTGATTAAATTTATTTTTGTCTCTTTAAATATAAAAAATGCAAAAATATTTTTATTAATTAATTTATTTATTTAATAATTAATCTAGTTTAATTTCTTTCATAAATTCAAAAATAACCAAAAAAATCTTTTCTTTAATTAAAGGGTCAAAACCCTAAAAAACTTGCGCCAGATTTAATTTCCCGCACGCGATCCATTTTATATCATATTTGTATTTGTTTCCGGAATGTAATAGCTTAATAGGACTTTAAATACTTGTATCGCTTTATTTATTTTCCGCATTTAATTTTTAAGGGTTGTTTTTGGCGATGTAAATATCCGACGCCTTGTAATAATTAGTTAAATTTCCGCAATTTAATTTTCGCAAATTATAACTGTTAGATGTTTGATAATAGGGATGCATGACAAGAATGGATGTTTAACCTAAAATCAACTTAGATAACCATTGACATGTACAAAGACAAAATAACTGAAAACAACACACTCGCACATGCGCACTCTTAGGGTACACCCCACTTGGTTGCCTTCGTACGCGGTCATTGAGTATAGGTAGTTTTAGAGGTCGCCCTCTTGTCTAAAGATCATAGTCGCCTCGAAACGGTTGCCTCGGATATTGTTGCCTCCAAACAAATGATCTAAGACATTAGGGTTACCGCTAAGGCGTCCTAACATTGCTTTGGTGACCGCACGTCCCTTAATCGAATTGACCCTTAAAACTCCAACGACGGTGCTACTTACTCATCAATAGTGGGATAGCATTGTATAAAGGAAGATAGCATATAACGATTCCTTTTTCGAGTAGGTAGATGGTTCTTAAGTACTTGCTCTTTCAAAAACAAAAAACTTTCACACTTACACCTTTCAAACAAAAACTTTTTTAAACCCACAAACACAAAGAAAGCAATTTTTGAAAACAATATGAGCAAGTACCTAAGAGCCCGTGGATAACCACTGATAGAAAGGGTGCTAAAACCTTCCCTTTCTATAATATACCCCCCGAACCCGAGAAATATCTCGAAAAAGGAATTTTTCTGTGCTTTTTTCCTTTCCTTGTTGGATAAAATAAAAGTCGGTGGCGACTCTTGCTTACCGAGACATTTTGCAAAAACAAACGCAAAACGCAAACCAACATTCCAAAAAACAGTCAGTTCTTTCCCACCGTATCACACATGCGATGTTAGATGACCTAATGAGAAGTATCTACACGAAGCAGGCAAGATGTATAAGCCAGATGATCCTTATAAAGGGGTAGGACAAATTTGGGGTATGACAGATACGACCAAAGGGATCGAAGGCCAAACACAAAGACTCAGGGCTTCTGTCATAAACGCCACAAGTTTGTGACTAAAGCAATCAAAACTCCACAATACAAAGAAAAGACGCAAAGAAAATGGAAAAACCACTAAAACTTCTATAGACCCACCCTCTTCTTGGTAGCTAGCCACTCTAGAGGCCATTGTGGGTCTGCCACACATCAACCTCGTGCTAGGTTTCACCTGGGGGAGTGGTACGGATATTTGGTCAGACACGACCCTAGAGACGTCCAATAAACTTCGAGCAAAAATCTCATTAGTTGATGGAAAGTCTATAGAAATTAACTTAGGATCAAATGCATGCGCCTTAAACAGGTAAAAAAATATCACAACGTCAAATTCATTTACTCACATTTCCCAGTGCATGTATTACATATAAAATGGAGAAAGACACAACTAATCCCTAAGTGAGATGATTGTTCCATCTTTAAGCATTTAGTCTGGTCGTGCTTGCTCCCTCAACATACGTAGAGGGGAGTGAAAACACTTCACTTGCAGTAAAGTGTTCATATAGGACTCAGAAACGACCGCAAGATTGAGAGTGGATGATTCATTTAATTATGGGATAAGGAGGCATTTTAAGGCGTAAATTTTCAAGATATTCCTTAACGGTGGAAAGATATGCCTTTGTAGTAGATCAGGTAACCAATGTAGAGGTTAAAGCGTTATCAGTCTTTGTTATGTCTCTCCCTAAGAGCTTTACCTGGTCAACTAACGATCCAGGGAGATTGGAGGCACTCAAGGCATCATCTATCCCGATTAGAGAAACTCAGTAACTCTTCATCGAGAGCCTCATCAATTAGGTTGTCAAGGTAAGAGCAATCCTTTTCTGAAGTAGACGCCTGATCTTCTTTCAGAGTACAGTGTCCCAACCTAACCAATAAGGCAGGAGCTGGAGGACTTGACATATGTGACAACCACTGAGAATCACTAAGGATACCAACATTTCTTGTAGTCCCCGAGGAGGTTTCCCCTCGAGAGTCTGGCTGAAAGGGATGCAGCAAAATCCTTACCATCCCAGTCGGAGGAGCAACATCTACTAACATTGAAATGTTTAAAGGACCAACAATAGTTGGGGTGACTCAGGTTCCCCGTCTTAGTTGGCAATTTTTTTGCTCGTTCTTCATCTAATATGTAAATAATGATTACCAAAGTTAAGAGAATTGCCAATAACTAAATTGGCGGTAGTGGAAAAAATACCAGAAGCTCGTAAAAATAACCTTCCTCTCCTCCTTGGTACCAACGTCCATCATCGGGCGGGCTTTAACAAGGGATTTCAAACATTTATTTGAATTTTCATCTCGAGGAGTGACGCCCCCGACATGACCTAACTCTTTGACAAAGGTGACAAACTGTTTTGAGTCATGATAGACACTATTTTGTTCCATTACATAAAATTAACATGTTATAGAAATACATATGATAAATAAGCAAAGGTAACTAATATCTCAAGAAATTGCAGAATTGACTCTTCAGAGATCGTGTGATGACTTGCCAAAATTAATAAGCATTATAAATGCTCTAGATCACATTAGGAAGACACTAAAGTATTTCAGTTTCTAAAGATCATTATGATAGGACCTACGGAAAGACATATGTAGCATGGGGAGCATTTAAGGCGCGAATTTTCAAGGACACCAATGTCCTCTCTTTGATTTCCATTCAAGTAAGGATGCATCCGACAAGAAAGGGTGAATACAACAAAAGTCCTCGCACTACTGAGTAGAGACTAGGGTTTGGGGGTCAGTTGTTTTAAGCGGCCCATAAGAGCCAACGACCACAACCCAGAGAAGGAAATAACTTTCCAGTTCGCTCGCAAGGTATGAGTCTTATCTAGGGGAAGAGCAGGAGATATAGGTTCAAGATACATTCAACGGTTTCCCTACGCTTGAAGAATATTGAGTTATTACAACTGCCCCCTCTATATATAAAAAAACCATGTCATTCTCAAGATACACAATTTAAATTAAAACTTCACTCACTCATTTTACTTAGATACTGAATTCAATGCTAGAGTGTTAACCTTGCAGACCAGCTCATTTTCATAACGAAATATATACAAAATCTTAACTCTAATAAACTCAAGTTCCATAATGAAATATATAATATAAACTTGAGAAAATAGACTACTACCATATATACAAAAATATCCTTATGCATGTCTCTTCTTCGAAAAAACATGTGTATTTTTTCCAGATTAAATTTGTATTTATGTATCAAATAATAATCATAATTATATATATATATATATATATATATATATATATATATATATATATATATATATATATATATATATATATATATATATATATATATATATATATATATATATATATATATATATATATATATATATATATATATATATATATATATATATATATATATATATATATATATATATATATATATAACAAAAATAATAATCATAATAATAATATAATAACTAACTACCACAATTATAAAAATATAAAAATAATAATATTAATCCACCACTAGTAATAATAATATAATATTTAACTAATAATATTATTAAAATAATAATAATAATTATAATAATAATAACAAAAATAATAATATAATAATTAACTACCACAATTATAAATAATAATAATAATAATAATATATTCAATTAACACTATTATATCTTATTACTCTAATTCTTATTTTTTATACAAAAAATATTTAATTATAAAATAATAATAATAATACAATTTTTTAATTAATACTATTATATTTAATTAACACTATTATATCTTATAATCATAAATTTTTAACTATTTTTTTAATTATTCTCTTTTAATTATTGTGTTTAATATTAAAGTTATAATTTTTTATATAAATTCTGAATAACTTAGTTTTTGTAAATAATAAATACAAATCACAAATATAAAAATTATTTTACTATTTTTTTAAATTAAAATTTTAACAAAATTAAAATAATTAAAATATCTTAAAATTAATATAACATATGAGTTATATGATATATAATAACGATGATAATACTATTAATATTCCTATTTCAATTCCAATTAAAAATTTAAAAATTAAAACTCATTAAACCCTTCAATTTTTTATGTTAATTCAAAAAATAAAAAATATTTAATAAATTTTATTTTAATAATTATTAAAATATAACTAATACACTATAATTATATAATTATGATAATATAAAAAAATTTAAAAATAAATAAATACATTAATAATTAATACTCAGCAAAAATTACAAATGAAATAAATCAAATAAGAATAAAATTATTTACTACTTTATACATATTTTTATATAAGTTTTGTATTACTTACTTTTTCTAAATAATAAATACAAATCACAAATCACAAATATAAAAATTAATTTAATAATTAATTATGATAAAAGTTATTTATAGACAATAATGATAATTTAATATCACATATTTATATGTAGAGTGATTATGGATAGAACAATAATAAATAATAATAACAATTTAAATTATTAATTAAAATATATATTAATACAATAAATGAGTGAATGAATATAATTAAAGAATATAATTTACAAAATAGCAAAAAAAAGTAATTCAAATGTTTATGATTATGGATAGAACAATATTAAATAATGAAATAATAATAATAATAATTTAAACTATCAATTAAAATCTATATTAATTCAATAAATGAGTGAATAAATATAATTAAAGAATAGTATTTACAAAATAGAAAAAGAAAGTAATTCAAAGGTTTATGATATTTTGTAACTCTTTTTTTTAAGTAACTCAAAGGTTTATGAGTTACATACATATTTTGTAACTCCTTTTAATTATAAATAGTTTAAAGATTTATGATATTTTGTAACTCATTTTCTTTAATTATATTCATAATAATATATTTTGTTTTTATCAATAATCACTCTACATACATATTGTTAAATTGTAATTCAGTGTGTCGAAACAATGTGTCGAAAAGATTTGATTTGTTTTAGAGTTAAATAGATTTGATTTAAGTCTAGAATAGATTTGATTTGATTTAGTAACAAAATAGATATTTTGGGCTTTGGGCATAGGGTGTAAGCTCGGTTATAAATAGAGGGAGTAACCCCTATTTTTGTAAGCAAGTTAAGCAAGTCATTCACAGTATTTTGCAGTTGCAAAGTGAATAAGAAAGTTTTCACAGTTTGTGAGCAGAGAGAAACTCTGCCGAAATTATTTGTCTTGTCTTTTTTTCTTTATTTTTCTCATAATTAAATCGTCATTGTGGTAGAAATTCATCATAGACTTTGGTGAGTTTCCAATATCTGGTATCAAGAGCTTTGTTTCGATTCGAGGGAAGTATCAATCAAGAACGATTGAAGAATTCACGATGACAAGTTATGGGAATGCAAACTATCCAGCAACACTACCAATTCTGAAAGTTGACAACTATGAGAATTGGTGCAAACAGATGAAAGTCTTATTCAGGTGTCAAGGTCTTTGGGACCTTGTAAAAGATGGAGTCGAAGTGCTTGGAGAAAACGCTTAAGAAGAAGAAAAGAAGAAATACACAAAATCTGAGAAGCTGAGTTATAAAGCATTATTTATAATTCATCAACGTGTCAGCCCAGACAATTTCGAAAAGGTTAGTGATTTAGAATCTGCAAAAGAAGCTTGGGAAATCCTTGAGAATTCTTTTGGAGGCGCTGAGAAAGTGAAAGAAGTGAGGTTACAAACTCACAAAAGGACTTATGAACTGCTTCACATGGAAGACAGTGAAAGCATATCTGATTTCTTCACTAGTGTTACAAAACTAGTAAATCAAATCAAGATATGTAGAGAAACGTCAACAACAAGAGTTGTTGTTTCGAAGATATTGAGATCTTTAGCTCCTAAGTTTGACCACATAGTGGTGGCGATAGAAGAGGGGAAAGACTTGTCGAAATTGACAAAGGAAGAGCTTCAAGGGATGCTTGAATCTCATGAACAAAGAATGAATGAAAGAGCTGCAGGCAAATCGAAGAGTGATGTGGCCTTGCAGACAGATTCAGTAAAGGAAACCAAAGGCAAAGGAAAGTGTTTCGACAGAGGTAGAGGTGGCTACAACAAATCGAATGGTAGAGGAAACCAAATCAAAAGAGACGTGTCGAATCAAAGAAGACCATACCAAGGCAACCAAAGAGGCGGTGTTGCAAATAGAGGAAGAGGTGGTGGTCGAAAACCTGATAAGAGTCACATTCAATGTTACAATTGTCAGAAGTATGAACACTATGCGAGTGATTATCCAGAAAAATGAAAGAATAAAAAAAGTGATGCAAAGCTTGCAAAACATGAAAAAGAAGAGATGATGATGGTCACAACAAGAGATGAAGATAGATTCAAGGACCAATGGTACTTGGATTTAGGATGTTCATCACATATGTCTGGAAGGAAAGACTGGTTTGTTAATATAAAGCCCTCAATGAAAAATATGGTAAAATATGAAAATGACAATACCCTAGCAGCTGAAGTTATTGGTGATGTTATGATTATGAGGAAAGATGGCAATAGGTCAGTAATTTCCAATGTGTTGTACATACCAGGCATGAAGAGCAATTTGCTCAGTATAGGATAGTTGGTCGAAAATAATTTTAGTGTCAATCGAAGATAAGATGATGAGAGTCGTTGATGCAAATGGGAGATTAATCTTGAAGGCTCCTATGTCTCAGAATCGAACCTTCAAGATTGAACTAAATGTGATGGAGCACAAGTGCCTTTCGACTACAGATAGCAGAGATGAATTGATATGGCATTATAGACTAGGCCATCTCAACTTCAGAGACATCAGAGATTTGAAGAGAAGAAATATGGTTTCAGGATTACCAGAAATCGACATTCCTAACGAGGTATATGAGGAATGTGTGCAGGCGAAGCAACAAAAGAATAGCTTCAACAAGGATGTAGGAAGCAGGTCGAAGGCTAGTCTTGAAGTCATATACTCTGATGTATGTGGACCAATCCAAGTGGATTCGATGGGAGGTAACAAATACTTTGTTACATTCATAGATGATTTCAGTCAAAGGCTGTGGACTTATCTAATCAAGAAGAAAAGTGAAGTG